AATCCTATGGGCCACGAAGAGTGGGTGAGATGCGCCGAATGTGGGGAGGGTGGAACTGCGATGCGGACCCTGCCAACTGTGGACTTCGGCGTGGCACCCCATGGGGCCACGAAGCGTGTGAAGGGTGCGCCGAAATGCAGGGTGGAACTGCATGCGGACCCTGCCACTGGGGCCTTCGGTGGAGCACCCTATGGGGCCACGAAGCGTGTGAGGGGTGCGCCGAAATGCAGGGTGGAACTGCATGCGGACCCTGCCACTGGGGCCTTCGGTGGGGCACCCCATGGGGCCACGAAACGTGTGAGGGTGCGCCGAAATGGAGGGTGGAACTGCATGCGGACCCTGCCACTGGGGCCTTCGGTGGAGCACCCTATGGGGCCACGAAACGTGTGAGGGGTGCGCCGAAATGGGGGTGGAACTGCATGCGGACCCTGCCACTGGGGCCTTCGGTGGAGCACCCTATGGGGCCACGAAACGTGTGAGGGGTGCGCCGAAATGGAGGGTGGAACTGCATGCGGACCCTGCCACTGGGGCCTTCGGGGGAGCACCCCATGGGGCCACGAAGCGTGTGAGGGGTGCGCCGACATGGAGGGTGGAACTGCATGCGGACCCTGCCACTGGGGCCTTCGGTGGAGCACCCGATGGGGCCACGAAGCGTGTGAGGGGTGCGCCGAAATGGAGGGTGGAATTGCATGCGGACCCTGCCACTGGGGCCTTCGGTGGGGCACCCCATGAGGCCACGAAACGTGTGAGGGGTGCGCCGACATGGAGGGTGGAACTGCACGCGAACCCTGCCACTGGGGCCTTCGGTGGAGCACCCCATGGGGCCACGAAACGTGTGAGGGGTGCGCCGAAATCGCGGTGCCTAGCATGCGGACCCTGCCACTGGGGCATTCGGTGGATCACTTCATGGAGGACGTGCGGAGGGCAGAGGCAGGGAGGGAAGGAGGAGGAGGAGAGGAGAGGGAAGGAGAGGAGAGGAACATGGGGCGGTGTCTCTTCAAAACGAGGACCCAACACCACAGGATGGTTGGGAAAACATCTCAGAGGGCCTGAGGGCTTCTGAGAATCCCCGCCGCTTTCTGAGAAGGCTTCTCCTTCTCACTGCCCCCCCTCGCTGGCCGCCTACAGGGGTACCCTGAGGTCCTGGCGTTGCAAGTTTTTCACACCTGGCGTTGTTGCTCCATTTCGGGCCCCAGGACCCTCACAGATCGATCCGGCTCGGAAACTGACGCAGGAAGGTGGGGTCCGGGGCTCCGGTCGCGATTATTTGCGATGCTGCATTCTTGTTACAACGTCGGATCTCAGGGTAGGGGGAGGGGGGAAGGCTTCTTAGAAGCACCATTGCTTCTTAGAATGCGAGGGCCTTCTCTTTAGATGTAGGGCTGGCGCCTTCTGAGAAGCAGCCTCCTTTTAAGAAGCCTTCCCCCCTCCCCCTACCCCTTCTGCGCGCCGCCAAACCTAAGCGATGAAAGAGAAAAGGATCGACTGCTCAGACCTGCGGCGCCCTCCTGTCCACGCGGCGTGCCACACTGGCGGCCCGCGCAAGCCGCTGCGTGAAGTTGCTGTGCCATCTTGCCAGAGCCCTGCCTCCAGACATGCCACGTCTTGATGTTGTCAATGCGGGGTCCCCAGAAGTCCTGACCCCTTCCGTTGGATTGGATCGGCTTTCTATCCTGAATCGTCATTTGACGGCCCTAGGGCCCTGTGGCCAAACATCTTCCGCCCTGAGGTTTTCGCGACGCGAGCATGTGTGGGCCAGGGGTCGACGCAAACGGTGTTTTGGCCATCTCGTGGCCGTTTCCGTTTCGACTTCGCCGTGCAGCAAAGAGGCGGATGGGAGAGACAGAACGAGACGAAGCAAAACGAACACGGAAGCATCGTTCAGGTCGATCCCTGGTGTCCAGACCCCCGACGTAATGATTTTTCGTGGCGCGACCCCCAGAGGTCCGGACCCATTCCCCAGGACCGGTTTTTCATTCTGAGTTCGGCGTCACCCCAACGTGCTTATACTATATGCGCGTCGCCCCCTCAGGGGCGACGCGCGCACCAAGAAATCTTATAGTATATGTGTCGCGGCGGGCGCCTTCTGGCCACACCGCTCGGGAAAGGATATACTACAAGATGGGTAGACTACATGTTCGGGTCGGACGCGCGCCTCCAAGGAGAACATATAGTACCAGATAGAACTGACGGTCGCGCGGCCCGGCAAGGGCCTCAGAGGCCGACAATAGCGAAAAGCCTCCCGTCGTGTGTTCTTTTCACAGCGTGCGGGGGTCTGGGTGTGGGTTCCTCTCCCTCGCCCCCTCCTCCTGGTTGACGCACACGGGGGTCCAGCTACAAGGGGGTGGTGCAATAGATCTGTGCAGTTGCGATAGGCTTGAGGCGTGCACGACACTCTGGGGCGCATAGGTATTGCTGGACTTCCGCGTGCAATGCATTTAGTTGCAAAACAATTCCATACGCTTTTCTGGCGCAGCGCACATCGCCCCACACCTGTTGCACCACTCCCTTTCAGCTGGACCCCCTTTGGGGTCGACCAGATCACTGCCGCCAGCCCCGCCGTATCAGGCTCGCCCACCTGAGGCCTGACCCCCAGACCCCCGACGTCATGATTTTTTCATGGCGCGACCCCCAGAGGTCTCGACCCATTCCCCAGGACCGGTTTCTCGTCCGGAGTCGTTTTTTGACGGTCCCGGGGGCCGGTAAGGGCCCCCATGGGCCGAAAATATTGAAAAACTTCCCGTCGTGATTCTTTCATGACGCGAGGGGGTCTGGGTACCAGGCCTCGCCCACCCGCGGCCTGACCCGCCGCCTCCGCCTCCCGGAGGCCCGGGCTCGGCGGCGCTTGGCGCGCGACCCCCGCCGCGCGACGAGCGCGCGCACGGCAGCGCGCGCGCGCGCCGCGGGGCGCCCCGCCCGCCGATCGCGCTGGGCCGATGTTCCACCACCACCGCCATGGGTCGGAGAGGGAGGAGGGAGGAGGGACGAGGGAGGAGGAGGAGGAGGAGGAGGAGGAGGAGGAGGAGGAGGAGGAGGAGGAGAAGGAGGAGGAGGAGGAGGAGGGAGGAGGAGGACCTCCCCATCCTCCCTTCCCCCCCGTGCTACGTGTGGTGGTGGTGGTGGTGAACAACTGACCCATCAGATCTGGGCCGCGCGCGAGGCCGCCCGGGCAGGGCTCGCGTCGACTCCTCCGATCCGATTGGGTTCGATTTCGATGGTTGCCGATTCCGACAGGATCGGGAACCTGGACCCCGAGTTCTCAGTGGAAGCCTACTAGCCCGCCGAGTTCCGCCGGCTCGACTTCTCCCGACTCGGCTGTCGATTTCCGCCGATCTGGTTCACGCCGATCGCCGATCCGACTCAACGATTCGATTCTGGGCTCTCTTGCCCGGGGCGCTGTCGTGAAAGTATCGGGACGGATGTCTGGCCGTTGTGGCCTCTGAGGGCTCTTGCTGTGCCCTGGGACTTTCGGGGGCCGCGCATCGAGCAACTCAGGCTGGGAGGCGGCGGCACCCCTGCCCGTCTGCATGATGGGCCTGTTTTCCACCACCACCACCACCACCACCATAGATTGGAGGGGGAGGGGGGTCCTCCTCCTCCTCCTCCTCCTCCTCCTCCTCCTCCTCCTCCTCCTTCCCCCCTCCAACTTATGGTGGTGGTGGTGGTGAAAAGCAGACCCATCACTGCAGGGTGCAGCCTCATCTCAGCACGGCGGGTGCGTGCCCTGGAGGGGGGCGGGAGGAGACGGCGGTGGTTCCAGGGGAGGTAAGGGCACCGATGCCAGTTCCCGTGGCCTCGTCTTGGGCCTTTTTGGGGGGGGCCTCCTGGGAGCCGTTCGTCGCCGCCGCTGGCTTCGCTCAGAGATTCTAATCGGAGCGCACCCTGGGAGAGGTCCTTGGAACTGCGGTTTCGGTACCCCCAGACTTCTTCAAAGTTGGCCTCATTGAGGGGGCTCGTCACCACGGCTAAACACGCCTCGGAAAACTGGTGCGTCTGGACCCCTCCGGGGGTCCAGGGACCCGACCTCGAGCTCGAACCCGAGCTGAGAGAACGGCAGCTCGAACTCGAGCTGCCGCTGTCTCAGCTCGCCCCTCTCCGAGAGTCGTGCCGCCCCGCCGCGGGCGCTCGGGGTGGAGCTCGCCTGGTGGCCCAGAGCCGCCCCGTGTGCAGCGACCCGGCGGCTGAGGAGGCCGCCGCTCGGTCGAGTGGAGGCTCAGCGGCCCACGCGGCGTCCGAAACCCGCGCCAAGGTCACGGCGGGAAGCCGGCGTGTGCCCCGGGTGTGCCAGCAAGGGGCCCCGCCTTTGGCGAGCCGAGGGGTCGACATCTCGCCCTCGGCGGCGGGCCCGCCGGAGGCCAGCGGCGGTGCGGGCGATGGCGGCTCCTGCCAGCGGTGGGCCGGAGCACCGCGGCGAACCGCACACGCCCCTGCCTTGGGTAATGCCTTGGTGAGCCCCAGCGGTCACCCGTGGTGGGCAGCGGGCGTTGTCTTTGAGGCCCAGGCCAGCTGCAGGCTGCGAGCGGTGGGCTCGCGGCCCCTGGCTTTCGCGGTTTGTAGGTGCGCTCTGGGGCGAGGTCGGCCACCGCCGTCGCCCGCGCGGGACCCGTCAGCATTCGGCACGATGGCGGGGAACAAGTGTGGCTTTTCGAGCGGCTTACGCCATTCCGCCGACCCCGCAGAAGGAGCACGTGCCTGCGACGATCTTGGAACTGATCTAATGGGTCAGGAGCTCCTCGGATGCATTTCAGGGGCTCGTGGAATGCCTCGCATGGGCCTGTTGAAGGGCTCTTGGGAGCACCTGAGGACCTTTTGGCCCTTCTTGGGGGCCTCCTGGAGGTTTCTTGGAGAACTCTTGGGAGTCTTCTGGGAGCCTCTTGGGGCCTCTTGTGGGCGCCTCGGGGCTTGGGGCCATTTTGAAGAGAAAGGCTCGAAATGTCAGTTCGTGTCCCCCTTCCAGGGCCCCTCTGAGGGCCCTCCATCTTGGGGCCATCTTGATGGGCTGTTTTGGGGCCCCCTTGGAGGCCTCATTGGCCCTGTCGGGACGATCGTGGGGCCCCTTGGGCCGTCTTGAACGCTGCCAAGACGAGAAAGGTGAATATGCTAAAAATGCACGTCTTCCTTAGGGAACGGGACGATCTGTACCTCTTGGGGCTCTCGGCAGGCGCGTGTCCTGGGGCGACCCTGGGCCATCTCGACGCTCTCTTGGGCGACGCTCTCTTGGGCTATGTTGGCGCTCTGTTTGGGCTATCTCAGGTCGTCTTTAGGCTCTCTGAAGGCTCCAGAAGCCTGGGGGGCCTTGAGGAGCTCGCCTCCCCCCCCCCCCCGCCCCCCCCCCCTGTAATCCGATGTTGGACCCCTGGGGAGGGGAAAGGGGAGGGGAACAGCCAAATGTCCCACACGCCTCTCCACCCCAGGCAAGCAGGGTTCCGCGGATTTTTCAGTCGTGGTGTCCAGGCAAGTCTTGTGGACGCAGCTTTTTCGGGACGGCGCCTTAGCACGTCGCTGCCCAAAGCTGGCTGCGTCCGGTAAGCTGCCAGAAGCGCTCCCCATCTGGCCCCTCCTCCCCCTCCTCCCTATTCCTTTCTTTTCATTGCCCTCCCCATTACCATCCCTCGCCTCTCCTCGCCCTTCTTTTCCTTCTCTCTCCATCTTCCCTTCCCTTCTGCTACGTAGCTCCTTCTCCTCCTGCTGCTCCTTCTCCTTCTCCTCCTCCCCCTGCCTTTCTGGGCCCTTGCGACGCCCCCACCCATCATCTGAACGGCTGGACGCGCCTGGGAAACAGGGATGGTGCCCGGGCAGGGTCCCTGGACTGGCTCTGAACGCACCCACGGACTCCTCAGCACGTGAGTGCCCTGCTGTTCCCGCATGGCTCGGGGCACCTCCCGCGCTCCTCCCGCACCTCCCTTCTCTTCCTCCGCCCTGTAAAGCCTCTTCTTCTTCCTCCTCCTCCTCCTCCTCCTCCTCCTCCTCCTCCTCCTTTCCTCCTCCTCATCCTCATGTTCGCCCTCCTCCTCCTCCTCCTCCTCCTCCTTTTCCTCCTCTTCTTTCTCCCCCTCCCACCTCCTCCTCCTCCTCCTCCTCCTCCTCCTCCTTCTCATCATCATCAGCAGCATCATCATCATCATCATCATCATCATCATCATCATCAACATCAACATCAACTTCAATATCAACATCATCATCATCAACAACATCATCAGCATCATCCTCATCCTCGTCCTCATCCTCATCCTGATCCTTATTCTCTTGCGCCTGCTGCCCCGCTCCTCATTTTGTCAGATTCCAGACCCCATCCTGCTGATCCTGCTCTCCCGCATTCTGCTTCTTCGTCTTCTTATTATTATTATCCTGCTCCTCCCCCACCTCCTCCTCCTCCTCCTCCTTCTCATCATCATCAGCAACATCATCATTATCATCATCATCATCATCATCATCATCATCATCATCATCATCATCATCAACATCATCATCATCATCAACATCATCAGCATCATCCTCATCCTCGTCCTCATCCTCATCCTCATCCTGATCCTTATTCTCTTGCTCCTGCTGCCCCGCTCCTCATTTTGTCAGATTCCAGACCCCATCCTGCTGATCCTGCTCTCCCGCATTCTGCTTCTTCGTCTTCTTATTATTATTATCCTGCTCCTCCCCCTCCTCATCCTCCTCCTCCTTCTCCTCCTCCTCCTCCTCCTCCCCCTCCCCCTCCTCCCACACCCTCGTGTCACCACAAGCACCGCAGGGACCCCACAGGTAATTACCGCAGGGTACCGCAGGTGCCAAAAGTACCGCAGGTAGCTTCAGTTACTGCGGTGGCCGCCACAAGGTGTGCGCGCTGCACCCACCAGCCACCAGTCCCTGGTGCGAGCCCCGGCTCGTGTGCCACGTTCTGTGCGTCCGCCGCACGTTCACGAGCACTGACCCTCGAGGACGGGGGAACCACTGAGCCCAGCCTCACTTCGATGGGGACATGCCCCCCCCCCGACCGAGGTATTCAGCAAGCCCCTCACACCCACGACCCCACACGACGGCCCGCTCGCCCCCCCCCACCCACCCACCACACACTCGAACACGGGACCTCGCCCTGACGCGATCCCCCCCCCCCACGCCCCCCGAGGGACAGCCCGTTCTGTCTCTCTCCCCCCCCCCCCCCTCCACGCCATCTCTCGCCCCACCTACACGAGCAACTCGATGCACGTGCCCCCGAGGGGCACCAACACCACGCTGCAATCCTCACCCTCCTCGTCCTCCTGCTCCTGCTCTCCCCATCCTCCACCTCCTCCTCCTCCTCATCCACCTCCTCCTCCTCCTCCTCCTCCTCCTCCTCCTCCTCCACCCCACCTCCCCCTCCTCCTCCTCCTCGTCCTCCTTCTCCTCCTCCTCCTCCTCCTCCTCCTCCTCCTCCTCCTCCTCCTCCTCCTCCTCCCTCTCCTGCTCATCCCCCTCCTCATCCTCCTATCGCCGCTGCAACCCATCCTGAGGAGGCTAGTTGGCCAGGCAGGTCGAGCAGAGTTTGATCGGATCTTTCTCAGCTCGCTCGTCTCTTCCTCCTACTAGTCGCCGTCGTCGTCACCATCAGCATCATGTTCAGCATCAGTATCATCATCATCGTCATCAGCATCGGCATCATCATCATCACCATCATCACCATCACCATCATCATCATCATCATCATCATCATCATCATCATCAGCATCATTATCATCATCGTCATCGGCGGCGGCGGCACCGGCGGTAGCAGAAGCAGCATCAGCAGCAGCAGCAACCTCATCAGCATTATTCCCGTAGTCACCATTACCAGCATCATCAGCATCATTATCATCGTCATCACCATTATTATCATCAGCATCAGCAGCATCATCATATTCCTCCTACTCCTCCTCCTCCGAATCGTGAATAACTTCATCAGTATCCCAGTGCGACCCTACCTAGGAGTTGGAGCCTCTAGGAAAGCAACATGCTATGATATGCTATAATATGCTACGCGATGCTGCGCAATGCTATGCTGAGCTAGGCTATGCTATGCTGCGCTATGCTATGCTATGCTATGCTATGCTGCGCTATGCTATGCTAGGCTATGCTACGATATGTCATGCTGCGCCATGCTAGGCTATGCTATGCTATGCTATGCTATGCTGCGCCATGCTATGCTATGCTATGCTATGATGTGCTAGGATATGCTATGCTGCGCTGTGCTATGCTAAGCAATGCTATGCCATGCTATGCTATGCTATGCTATGCTAGGCTGAGCTATGCTATGCTATGCTTGGCTATGCTATGCTATGCTGTGCTAATGCTGCGCTGCGCTATGCTGCGCTAAGCTAAACCAAGCTAAGGTAAGCTAAGCTATGCTCTGCTAAGCTAAGCTAAGCTAAGCTAGGCTAGGCTAAGCTAATCTAAGCTAAGCCAAGCTAAGCTAAGCTAAGCTAAGATGAGATAAACTAAGCTAAGCTAAGCTAAGCTAGGCTAGGCAAAGCTGAGCTGAGCTAAGCTAAGATGAGATAAGCTAAGCTAAGCGAAGCTAAGGTAAGCTAAGCTTAGCTGAGCTAAGCTGGGTGAACCCAGGGGGCGCAACTGGCGGAACCGCGGGGCGGATACTGGGGGAACCGCCCGGGGCGGTGTGCACTGCCCGGCCCCTTTAAGAAAGAGAGTAAGAACCCTCTGGGCAGAGCCTAGGTAGGGAATCATCAGCATCATCATCATCATCATCATCATCATCATCATCATCATCACCATCACCATCGTCATCATCATCATCATCATCATCAGCAGCAGCAGCAGCATCAACATTATCAGAAGCATCACCATCAGCATCATTAGCATCATCATCATCAGCATCATCATCAGCACCGTCGCCGTCATCATCACCATTCAGCATCATCAGCAGCATCATCATCATCAGCATCATCATCACCATCGTCAGCATCATCACCATCATCATCATCAGCATAATATCATCCGGCGCGAGCGCCTTTCGGAGCCGGCGCGAGCGCCTTTAAGTTGTCGAAGCTGGCTCCCGATGGATCCGTGATCATCACAATTATCATCAGTAGCATCAGCAGCATCATCAGCATCAGCATCCTCATCCGCATCCTCAACCTCATTCGCATTATCACCCCCATCGTCGTCCTCATCCTCATCTTCAGCATCATCGACAGCATCATCACCTTTACTATCGCCATCAGCATCACCACCACCATCGCCATCATCATCATCATCATCATCAGCATCATCATCATCATAATCATCAGCATCAACATCAGCATCATCAGCATCATCATCACCATCACCATCACCATCACCATCACCATCATCACCACAATCATCATCAACAGCTTCACCATCTTAGGTGTGCCGCCTAGGCCCGCGGCCGCCGTCCGCCCTGCGTGATGGCCGCCAGGCTCGCTGCACGGGCTGACGCCGGCGCTGCGGATGCGGCCCGACGCGGGGCCTTCGAGGCAGCCCGCGAAGCGCCTCGGGCGGTGCACGCTGCCAGCGACCCCGCGGGGGAGGCGGCCCGCAGGGGAGGCGCGCCTCCCTCGGGCGGCGGAGGGCGTACGGCGGCCGGCAGCCGCCGACCTCGCCAGCCAGCCCTGCCGCTCCGCTCATGCACAGGTTCCCCATCGTCCTCCTCCTCGTCCTCCTCCTCCTCCTGCATAGTTCCCCGCTCCCTCCTCCTCCTCCTCCCTCCTCCTCCTCCTCCTCCTCCTCCTCCTCCTCCTCCTCCTCCTCCTCCTCCTCCTCCTCCTCCTCCTCCTCCTGAGCGTGGTGGTGCCGCCGACGCTCCCGTGGCAGGCCCACCTCCGCCGGGCGCCGCGCGCCTCGGCGGAAGCGCCGCGGACGACGTCGGCGCGGCGCCGCCGCCGCGGCGGCTGCAGGGGTGGGCGAGGAGGGCGAGCCGACGGTGGGCGAGGGCTTCGCCGGGGCCTTCGCTGGCGAGCTGCCAGAGGAGCGCGCCCCGCGGGGTTGTGGCGCTGCTGCTGCGGGTTCGGCAGAGCCTGTTGGGAATGCATCGGGGGCCGTCGGAAAAGGAGGAAGGGGGCCGCCGACCGTGGCTCCTGGGGACGTGGTCGGTCCTGCGCAGCGCAGGTTTTCTGAAGGGCCTTGTGGTGCGAGCGGCCACGATCGAGGGGAACACGGCCAGCGCCCGTGCCGTCGACGCGGGAGCGGAGGCTGGGCTCGTCGATGGGGTGGGGCTGGACTTCTTGAAGGTCTGCGGGGGTAGAGCCGGTTGCCGTTGTTGACGGCCTCGAGGGAGAACCTCGGCGGCCGTTTTTAGGGAGCGGTCCCTCCCGGCAGCACAGTAGCACTGCACCGCAACACATGCAATTCCAAAGTCACGTCAAGAATGTGTGTCCCCGACGTAAGTGGTCCCGTGTATTGTTGTGATCCCCGTTGTGGTCATGGATTTTCCCTCCCGGGTTGCAGGGCCGTGTTCCGTCGCACGCGGCCCCCCAATTCATGTGCATGTGTCGTGGCAAAACGAGCGTGTAGCACCCGTTGCCGTATCTTGGCCATGGCGTACACAAGTGGTAGCCACGTCGTAATTGCATCCTTCTTGGTGACCTCCATTGTGGGCCATGCCAGCCGGCGTGTAAGAC